CACACACACACACACACACACACACTGGACTATTATTCAGATATAAAAAATGAAATTCTCCAGCAAAATTCATGGAACTGGAAGACATGATGTTACTAAAATAAGCCAGACATAGAAAGACAAATAGCACAAGCAGCACACATGAGAACAACAACAAATATTGACTGAAAGTAGAATCATGAATACTAGGGCCTCTGAAGGGTCCAGGGCGAAGGGGAGGTAAGAGAGTGGAAGAAGGAGAGATTGGATATGATCAGTGCATGTTGTATGGTCATATAGAAATCAGAAAACAAAATCCATTAATATGTAATTAATATTAATAAAAATGTTTTACAAAGACTAGTATCCTAGATATTTGAGGTTGCCTTTAATGCTACAGTTGTTACATGATAATAATGGTGACTGTTTGAGAACAAACCCTTGAGGAAAACCAGTAATTAATGGATAAGCAGGAAATTAGAACCCCCACTTATCCCCAAAAGCCTACGAAATATGTATTTTCATAAATGACTAGGAGAATGAGTTTTCCTGACAGGAGAAAAAAAATTTACAAAAATGAAATTTTAAAAATACTTCTTATTTTACCTTTTTCATATCTTCATAGCTCATGAACTGAATATTGAAGTCATGTCTGTGTTCATACCAGCCTCTTATGTGATCAAACCAACGACTTCCCACCACTGTGCAAAAATTAATTAGTAACAAGGTGAAGATGTAGCACTTATTGAACAGCAAAGTATTCTGTCTTTTCCTCCTTATAGTCACAAAAACAAAAATAAAGGCCCAAGCACTGGACAACTATATTACTGTTTTGAAATGATTACTGCTTAGGGGAACAATCATGATTTTCATAGAGAAGTGACCATGAAAATCGCCCTTACGGATGCAGGAAGGCAGCAATAAAGAAATGAGAAAGCCCCTGGATCTAAGTTTAAATCATATTTCCTTAAAGCAAGTTCCTCCACTTTCCTATATCCACCAGAAAATACACATGTCTATTTTTCTTCTCATTCTCTAAGATCTCGGGATAGGGAAGTTACCTGTTTACAATGAGACAGAACCTGAATGTAGTCTTTAAGTGAGTGAGATCGAGATACTTTTCATTACAAGTGTCTTGCAACAGTCAATCCTCATCAGTAGTGGAGTGATAAACTCCACCATGGCCCTAGAAGGCTTACCACAGTTCCATGTACACAAACACCCTGATCATTAGTGATTCTGGAATGTATTGTTTTAATTATATTTGTAGATAGTTTAATTTGATAGAATACGTGCAAGCCTCTTATGGAATGGTCAAAATGTTTTCTAAACAACATGCCTTTGTAAATTTGACAAAACCCACATGGTCCTGGCAAGGAAGGAAAAGCCACTGGGTGGCAGACTAAGTTGATGTGTCATAGTAACTACTCAAGAGCATCCGTTGTACAATTACCCTTTTCCATCTCTCTAAATATAGTCCCTAAATTCCTTGATAAATAAATTCATAGTTACCTTGTCCATCTAGAAACATTTCCATAAAATTCTCAAAAGTATCAGAAGGCTTTAATCGAGACACCCAATTTGAAAAATGATAAAAGGAAACCAAAACATCTTTAGGATTTCTGTAGATATAAAGAATCTGCAGGGAGAATTAGAAATAATATTAACAATTCCAGTATATTATTTCAAGTTTTTAACAGTTGCATCATATTCATTAGCTGAATGAATCATAATTATTTTAATCCATTCTACTAGCCATGGAAAATTAGGTGTTCCCC